GTAATATGGGTGAAACTGCATAAGTGCAACACACTCATATACAATCAATACCTAATGGCTTGGATGTCCTTCATTCTCAATAAACGCATACAAACGTGATTTTTGAGAACCCTCCAATCGTTTGAGAAATGCCAACGTACAAGAATTTCTTCATGATCAGAATGTCTAACAACAAATTTTAATTGTAAAACTCCGTAGGTTGACTAGAACTCATCGTGAACCAACTAGATTGTTTTTCCTCTTGGAGGATCACGATGATGTAGAGATTCCTAATGAGGATGATCTTCGGACCTACACTGAGTTTATGTAAGACATGGACTCAGAGAGGTGGCTTGATGCCATAAAATCATAAATGGACTGGATGTACATGAATCAAGTTTAGAACTTGGTTGGTTTTGCCAATTGGGGTTAGACCTATTGGATACAAATGAGTTTTCAAAAGAAAACTCTTATGCGAATGACAAAGTACAAACCTACAAGGCTAGGTTGGTGTCTAAAGGTTATAGTCAACGTGAAGACGTTGACTGTAATAAAACATTTTCGCATGTTCATGAAATCAAGTCCATCTTGGATTTTACTTGCAAAAGCTGCATACTATGATTATGATATTTGATAGATGGATATTAAAAATCATTTTCCTTGATGGAAAATTGGAGGATGTATATATGATACAACTTAAAGGTTTTATATCTAAGTCAAATTCGAAATTAGTATGCGAGTTACTAAGGTCCAATAGTGACTTAAGCAAGCCTCTGGGAGTTGGAATATCTTTTTCTACAAAGTTACATAATTGTTGGGCTTTGTGAGAAGTAAGAAGGATCTATGTGTTTATAGTAAACGCAATGAGGACCATATTTTTTTATCATATATATATGTGACATATTGATAATGAAATGATGTTCCTCACCTGCAGTCCATAAAAGATTGATTATTAAGCACCTTCATTGTGAAAGGGCTTGGGTGAAACCCGCTATACTCTTGAAATTAGGATCTATTGAGATAGATCTAATAGAGTGTTAGAGTTTCACGGTCCATGTGTATTGTCAAGATACTGAAGTGCTTCTCCATGGAATAATTAGAATATTCCAATGGACGTGACATTAAGTTGGCAAAGAAAGATTGTCTTTCAGTTTATGCCAAACTTTGGTGCATGAAGAAGATTACATTTGCTTATGCGATGGAGTCTATTATGCATTTTATGACATGTACGAGGTCTACATGGCTTATGCACTTAGTATCACCTATAGATTCCAATAAAATCCTAGGGAACTATATTGGAAGACTGCTAAGACTATCTTTAGTACATTAGATGGACTAAAGAATATATTTTATTCTATTATGTGAATAATAATTTAATAGTCTTATATTCATTTCAATGATGAGACAGTGGGTTGGAATAGTTCCAAGCAGTAAACCACTGTGAATTCAACCACAAATGCTGAGTACATTGTTGCATTAAAAGCCTATGGAGGTTGTTTGGATACATGAGTTCTTAAATGAACTAGGGGTAGTTCCAAGTGTCATTTATCTAATATCTACATATTATGATAAACGCGTGCGATTGCACGGGAAACGGAACCAAGATCCAACAACAAAATAAACATGTACAAAGGCGCTATCATTTATTTAGAGATAATTGATAGAGGAGAAATAAGTTAGAACGTGTTCAAGCTGAACACTACTTGAATGGTTCGTTCACCAAACCATTGTGCATAGTTGAGCACAATAATCATTTTAAGAAAATGTGTATTAGATACATTGGTGATTGCCTCTAGTTCAAGTGGGAGATTGTTGGTATATGTGTCCTAGAGACAATCATTTTAAGGACATATATACATGATCACATTAATAATTATATTGGATTATAATTATGGTATTGCGATTAATTAAGTAATTATTTGATTGTTTGCAATTTATTAATAAATTGCTCCCTTGAGTTGATATTGTCATTAGCAGAGTGAGATGTTAATTGATAAAATATAACTCTCAAATCGCCTCAATCGATGATCATTAAGAAAGGGATATTAATGAT